AGGATTTGAGAACAACAGAGAATGCTAATGTTTAAATGTTTGTAGCATTTTTTGTATCCAAACTAAGATATATAGTTTATATGTAGTAAAATAATAGCTATTTTAGTCCAATAATATTAAGAGACAAGCTGACCTCCTAAGATACTATAGGAATGGAGGGAAGTGGGTTCTGAGGTCATAAAAACTGGGAAATTGCTATTCAGAGTGAAAGGACCTAGTTTAAAGTAAATGATTTTGTTTAAGCTGGCATTTCCCAAATTTATTTCAGGATAGAACCTTTTTAATATAAGGAAATTTCAACATGCTTTATAATATTGGTGGAAAGAAGGCAGATACTTCAGTTCTTACCATGGCTGAGGCTTTAATCACCATTTTTATTCATCTAGCAAATACATATGGAGTGACTGCTTTTTGCTACATACTATTCAAGATGCTGGCAATACCTGGAACAAACCAGACAAAAGCCGGTGGCCTTCTAAGGATTAGAAGGCCAAGCCAGGGGAGAAAGACAATAAGCAAAATTAAGTAGTACAAGTACTAAGTACTTCAGACAAACATCGAGCCAGAGTCAGGTGGTCAGGAGTACAGGGCTTACAATTTTAAATAGAGATGTAACCTTGAGCAAGTCACTTAGCTTCTCTCTGCTCCAAATCTGTAAGATGAAGCCATTCAACTAAATCATCTTCAAGGCCCTGCCAGCAGGTCTGCTTTAAGGACCAAGAGTTGTCATAATCAAGCTGTGGTATTGCTGGGTCATGAACATATCTCTGAGCGTTTGCAGCTACCTTAGTAGAAAAGGTTGATAAAAGTTATAGAATTGTTGCCAAATAAAAGCTTATGTAAACCTAAATAATTTGTAATACCCACAACAGAACAAAGCATTTGTATTAAATAAATGGGGGGAAAAACACCTTGCTGGTTCTATTTTTAATCTAGTGTGTACCTCAGTCCAGTGAAAAACCTCTGCAGTAAAAGTACCAGTAGTTTTTAAGCAGATACTAGCATGCCCATTTGAGAAATTTGCAGCAGTACACATACTGAGCTGCTGCCCTTATATCCTTATGTAAGATGGAAGTCTGTGACTTGATGTTGAAATGACCTTTCAGACAGTATTCCAGTGCCACATGCCTGAACTTGTGTCACAGAGTAATTAGAAGCTTTGACTTACACATCTTGGTATACAGTGTTTATGTTAATTATAAATGTCTGAAAGTTTCCTGAAACTTTGTCTTCATAGCTTTTTATCAAAGACAGCCTGGAGTTTGGGAGGAGGGTTGTGGATTGTGGTCCTAAGCCTTTGATTTTCAGCCTCTCATATTTGGAATGAAAATTAAAATCTACTTTTCAGCTTGCCCAGAACACAGTAGGATATTTTTATATTCTTCATTGTGAATAAGAAACTGTTTGGAATCATAGTCTTTGATACTTTTAAAATAACATTTCACTCTTAAGGCATTAGCTAAAAATTTTCAAGTAGACCATGGGTCCCTAAAGTTCTAAAAGTATTCCCACTGACTTGTAGGAAAAGCTCAAAATAATATAATTAAAATTGAGAAGTCCCTATCATACAAAGGGATGCTCTTCCAAAATTGTTTCTAAACAGACCTTGGAATTTCTTTTCCCATGGTGATTAGCCCTGTCTTCAAAAGCCAATCCTAGGCCCAACAATAATAGTCATTTTCATCTCCCCCTAGTCATAGTCCATAACCCAAAGGCCAATTTATAAGAAAATGCTTCATAATCATTCTGGAAGAAAAGACTGACTCCTACTTCACTATCTAGACAAGCTATGGAGTAGGTTCCTGTATATTAGAGACAGAAGTGATGAGTATCCCCAAGTTTCTCTGAAGTCTAGTCTCTGAAATGGCCCTGCATCAGACAAGGACTCTGATCCCATTTTAGCTGGACCAGTCCCACGGGCTCTGGTCCACTCTGAGGCCCCCATAATTTAGTTCTGACGCGCCCCACTCTGTCGCCCCTCCTGCCTGCTCTAATTGTCATACACAACCTGCTCTTTCCATTAAGCCTTTGCCCAAGAAGCCAAACTGTTAGGCACATTTACCAGGTATAAACATAAGTACTCTTTGTACATACATTTCATTCCTAATATATTCAGATATTGATGCACAGAAAATTTATATCTGATTTGTACCATCTCCTTCAGGAAATAAGATATACTAAATCTATAGACTGTACAGTGTAGACTTGAAAATTTTAAAGATAAGAAGATTGCATGGTTGACATCTTCCTCTCAGATATTTTATAAGAAAAGCCTGAGATTAGGTCAGGCTGTACCACCTTGCCATGCCCTTGGAGAAGAGCATAGCAACCCATTCCAGTGGGTTTTCCAGATTGCCTGGAGAATCCCATGGACAAAGGAACCTGGCAGACTACAGTTCATGGGGTCACACAGAGTCAGACATGACTGAGCAACTTAGCACGCATGTACCATCTGCATTGTTCTGCTCTGAAAACCACCAGGGAAAAGGGATGTAGAAACTCAGTTGTGGGAACTCTGTGGTACTCATCATTCCTTAACCTCCAACTGCACCCCAGCTCCTCAGCTGGAGAAAAATAGCATGATATGTACCCAGGATGCCCATCAGAAACATGATCTGCCCTGCCACCTGCCCCTGCCCCTGTGTGCACACTGCTCCCGTACACACCATAGGCTGGGGCAGCAGGTAGGAGGGAGCTTTGAGAAGTCCTGCTGTCATTCTCCATGATACTACCTCCTTTTTTTTTAATGGGTACTTTTATTTCTTTAAAGATACCATTTTCCCCTTAAATTCCTCATTAATTATCAAAAGTCAATGAAGTCAGAATTCTTTTCTTTTCTAAGAGACTAACCTACCTCTGTCTGTGATCCATAACTTCTCAACTTCAGCCTTACTAACGTAATTCATTGTTTTGGGGGCCATCCTGCACACTGTAACGTGTAGGGCGATGTCCCTGGCATGCTAGTAGCAACCTCCCATACCCAGTGCCCCCCGGGGTGGGGGGGCGGTGGCGAAACTGCCCCTTGGCAAAAATTGCTCTCCTGATCCCTGTGGCATACAAGCTTCCAAAAACTTTAATGGGTTCATAGCATGGGTTGTGTATTTTCTTAACTTTGTTTCTTTTAAACCTGATCCTTTCCTATTCTGTTATCATATTTTTTTAATGACAATAGCTATTTTTTTTTCTATTTGATATTCTTTTAAAGAATAAAAAGCTTTCTATGCCCACCATCAGGCCAGACCCTAATGCTTTGAGTGGTGTGCACAGCAATTAATTCATTCAAGGTATTTCTGTTATTAAACCCTCCAAGTTTACACAAAGACTTTCTGTGTATGTGTGTGCTTAAAAATGGGGAAGAAAATGTATAGGAAGATAATTTTTCACCTTAAGAAGTATAAATGTTACTTAAGAAGAATCACAGTTAAGATGATAAGAAAGGAAAAGCCATGCTCTGTTTAGTAGATGTATGAGCTTAAGGACGCCAGTAATTAAAAGTTTTCTGTGAAAGAATACTGAACATTTGTATAATTTGAGTACAAACTCTAATCACTCCTGCAAAATAGAAAAAAAAAAAAACTGTATGATTCTACTTTTTAAAAATGCAATTTAGAATCTCCCAAAAGGGACAGTCTTCCATACTCTGATGGGTAAAGTACTTCTGCAGTCCCAGACTGGAACCCTATAGGAAGGAAGACCTTAGGCCTAAACTGAAGCCAGAACCTGGCCTGGAAATCAGTTTGCCACCGCTGTGGAAAATCTCCCCAACCAGGTTCTGCAGATCTGCAGGGAGGGTTGAGGGGGACGGTGAGTGGAAGTTAAGTGAGTCATGGCTGAGGAAGGGATGTCATTCAAGCGTTCACACCTTCATTCCCTCTACCTGCTGGCCTAGACCTTAAGGAGGACATATACATAGCAGCCAGTTAGCTCAGAGCCTTATTCTTCCCTTGATGGAAAGGGAAGATTTGGGGGAGAAGAAGGAATTAGAAAACACTTTCTCCCTCCTTGCTTGTCTACTAAATTGCCAAGAGTAGGTATTTGGAGGCTGGAGAGCAGGAAGTCACATTTTACATTCTTTCCAACAAAACCCATTCGTAAGTACCACCTAACACCATGGTGGCCCCTGTACACCCAAGGGAAGAAAGGCCTTGGGAACTGGGAGGGGTGGTAGAGTTGAAAGACAGAAATCTCCAGTTCCTCTATTCACAGGTATTTATTAAGCCCTCACTATGTGCCAGGTACAGGGGCTCAATAATCAAGAGCAGTCCTGTCCCTTTGCTTCTGGGGCTGCTCTCTAGGAAAGGAGCCAGGCCTTGAGCCAAGAGCATAGGAGACATCTGCTTGTTCCAGAGTGTTGCCTAGGGCTCGGCCTTGGGGGGCCTGCAGAGTCACCTCTGTGGGCTGCTGACCTTGTTCTATAAACACGAGGAGGGAGAGACACCCAGCTGCGTTGTGCTGTGAATGTAATTAACGGTATTCACCTTATTTATGCTGCTAGTTACTCTTCAAAAGTAGTACTCCAGTAAGTAAGAATTAAAATGAAATGTATGTGTAATAAGACAGCACAGGATTCAGATGTAGACTCTGTCTCAGAGACCATCTAAATATCTAGAAGCTATTTAGCAGGGGGTCACAAAGCCACAGGCAGAACCTTTGCATCTCAGAAGAGGAAGAGCTTTTCAGCAAGTTCACTGATAACTCTTCCATGTGAGATGTAAGCAATTTCTACTGTGAAAAGAAGAGGGTTCCTCTTATAGACTAATTACTGAGCCGACACAATTACTGACACTTTAGAGCAGAAAATTGAAATCAGAGTGTGGTAAGTTATAGGCATGCTTGTCAGATTCCTTGAATGATTCAGTAATTTAAACGGTATAAATGTAAGTGCTCAAGAGGGCTTGGGTAAAAAATGAATGTAATTTGAAAAACAGTAAGGTCAGTCATCAGATCATTCTATAGCACATTTATAATTTGAGGTGTTTCTCTCTTTGTCCCCCTTTTAGCTTGTCAAAATCCCTAAAAATGATCCCCTCAACGAAGTGCATACCTTTAACTTCTATTTGTCAAATGTGGGTAAAGACAACCCTCAGGGCAGCTTTGACTGCATCCAGCAAACTTTCTCCAGGTAAGTGTGTTTCAGGGTATGCTGAAGGGAAAGTAATTTTTCTTTGAGGGTTTTTTTGGTTTCTTAAATTAAACAATAAAACACATAGTAGTCATTCTTTAAATATTTATTGACTTGAATTGCAGAGCTCACTTATTTATTTGAGAAATAGTGAGCACATACTATGTGGTAGAAATTATATTTGTCACTGTGGGATGCAATCACAAAAAATTTAAGACTCTTGCCCTCGAGGAATTTTTAAGGTATAGATTTTTTACCTATAAAACATGGTTTATTTTATTTAAATTAAAGACAAGTTTCAGGGGTTTTCAAGTTCTTAATCACTGAATATAAGTAAGAGTACTTTATAGTTACAGGGGTCCCCAACCTCCAGGCCACGACCGGGGAACCTCTGGTCAGATCAGCCAGAGGCATTAGATTAGAAATAAAATGCACAATAAGTGTAATGTGCTTGAATCATCACAAAGCCATCCCCAGTCCCACTCCCAACCCCCACCCCCGGTCTGTGGGAAAACTCTTCACGAAACTGGTCCCTGGTGTCAAACAGTTAGGGACCACTGTGGTAGTAACCTCAAGGCTCACACTCATGGATAAAGGAGAAAAATACACGTGTCTTATATATGCCCTTCCTCCTTCCCTGTGCAAGGCGTGTTGTGAGATAGATTTTTAAAAATCTTTATTCTGCAGCAGAATGGAAACTAGAAATTAACCCCAGGAGACAGTCCCTTTTGATTTTAAGGGGAAAATAAAGGAGGGAGGAAGACAAGAACACACACCCATAGCCCAGGGTACCCGTGGAGCTCTTATCTGCTTCGGTCCTCCGTAAACAATGAGCTGCTTGTTTCAGTCTTCTTTGCTGTGGTTGTTTCTGATTAAAGAATGGGCCCCTTGAGTAGGGGGAGTTTGTTCTGCTGTGGATAAAGACAAGTCCTTAGAGCCCCCAGCCCCCTGAGAAACACTGACATTGGCCCAAAGTTCCCCAGGGCTGTCCATCCCTGTATCTCCCCTGTGGCACTTGAAGCCGTGCGTGCGCGCTATGTGGGGAAGAGGGGAAGAGAGAGCTGTGTTCCCAGTGGGCTCAGGAGGCAGAGATACAAAAAAGACATTGCACTGAAAGCGCTCTGAGTTTCTCCTTCCAATTAAGGCGACTAAATAACTTTTTGCTTTATCATAACCTGCCATTTTCCCTGAGTATATGTTAATTTTGCTTTCTAAAAATTGCCTTCCCCCAAATTTACTCTTTTTGGTATAAGTTGCATGTGTTCCAGGTTATATAGACTTTTTTGCACTTTTTACTGTGGTAGCCACTGCCTACCTGTGGCTATTTACATTTCAGATAACAAAAGTGAAATAAAAGTTAGTCCTTCACTCATACTAACCACATATTACAGGCTAAAGAACCACATGGCTAATGGCTCTCGTGGTGGACAGCACATACACAGAACGTTTGAAATTGCAGAAAGGTCTGCGGATCAGGACTGTGTTAGATTATAGCATCCCCAAGTATATGGGTCCTTGGTGACTTCTACCCTGTCACTTCACAGGTGACTTATCCATGTTACATAGCTGGTTAGTTAGTGACTGGGCTGAATGAGAACTGAGTTCTCCTAACTCTCACCCCAGCATTCTTTACAGACCACAGGGCACACCAGTTTCTAATTGTGCCATCACCTTTAATACTTGTCTTCAGCAAATTATTTTTTTCTAGAGAACATTTCAACATCAAATTGAACTGTGTCCAAAATTAGAATTTTACTAAGGAACTTAATTCCCTCTTCAAAACCAGGCCTGTCATCATAGGTAATATGGTTTCTCCCTAACCTCATAAATACCCTGTGTGTTTATTTCTACCTTGCTTGTTTGGAGAAGGATTTAAGGTCACTTTACAAAACTATCCATGATGGGCCAAACAGAAAAGAAACTGTTACTGTGAGAAAATTGTCACAACTCCATTAGTATGATCTACGTGTGGTAAGAATATACATTGAAATTTGCCATTATAAAAACAAGCACTCAGACTTTCAGTTCATAGCCTGGCGAGGATACCTTTGCATAATCTGGCTGCACCTTTTCTATTCAATTTGATTTTGGTTTTCCATGGATCTTGTCTTTCCTACAGCTGTGCAAGTTCTTCAAGGGCAGGGGTTCTCTTATACCCATTTCCCCGTCTTAAAAGGGTTGGCTGATTCCACAAAGAGATGTTCCAAGAATACATATTAACTAGTCTCCTTTCTTATCTTTCTTTTAAAATCTCCTTGGGCCTCACTTTTCTCATATGTAAGATGCAAGAACTCTCACAGTCAAACATTACCTTTTAAAAATTTCTTAACTCTGCCCATTCAGCGTCCTAGTGAAAATATATAATACAGCTCTATCAGTAATGCATAGTCAAGTGTGGAAAACAGCAAGCTAGGCTAGAAGAAAGACTATAGGAACATCTGTACACATGTGTCACAGTATTTCAACTTTTAAGGCAACTGAGTTCAAAAGGGATAAGTAGAGAATGTGGGGGATGTCTTCTTGCCCACAGTGTTGACAGCCCTATTCTGTTTTCATGTAAACATCTGTTTCTTGACCTTGGATGGTGTAAACTGTAATTTCATCATGATTGGCAATAGGTTCAGCTTATTCTCACTATGGAAATTGCTTAGTAATTAATAAGGGGAGATGCTGAAATTCAAGCTTCCTGCCACCAGACCTTTATACTTCAGTCTTCTCTATTGCAGTCTTTTCTTCCTACTCATCCTCTCTCTTCTCCCCACTTCCTTACCCTCCTTTCATTGGTTTTTCAGCTGAAGTCTGCCTCATTAAAAAAGAAAATAAAAACAAAAAACCCACCTTCCGTGCATTCACTTTTGGGCCCAAAGTCTAGTTCAGTCCCCACCATTCCACTGGATTATGCTCCCCAAAGCGAGCCTTTACCTCCTTGCCCATGATTATTCTGGACTTGTTGCCGGCCTTTCACCCTGTGGACCACCCTGATTCTTGAAGCATATTCCCATGACTTCCATGACACACTGCTCTTCTGATGCCCCTCCACCTCTCTGGCTGTACCTTTGCAGTCTCTCGTGGTCTTCTTTTCGTCTTCCTATTGATTATTTTAAATATTAGCACTATTCACAGTCCATTCCCTCCCAGCAGCAGTGAGGCTGCTCCTTACTTCAAGTCACCATGTTCCCGCACTGAACTCATTTTTCTCTCTCCCAGTGTTCCAGTAACACCCAGTAACCTGGGCACACTCTTGAACACCCCCGCTCCACCCCACCCACCCCCCGTGGCTAATCACTGAAATCCCGCCAGTGCTGCCTCCTGCCCCTCTGAAATCTGTTTACTGTTCTGCATTCACACTGCCCTTGTCCTGGCTCAAGCCGTCGCTTCTTGTCCGTAATCCTTCCCAGCCTTCACAAGAGTGCCCCCTTCCTTTCAGCCTGCTGTTCATCCTGGTCAGCTTCTCTACAGTGTAAACGAGGTGTTTTCTCTCCCTTGTTTTCAGTCTCTTATTGGGGTGAGGTCCAAAATCCATACTGTGACCTCCAGAGCCCTGTGTCATGTCCTTCTTGTACCTTTTTCAGTCTCGTCTCGTTAATTATCCTTGCCACCTCTCTTTGGTCAAATTGAAAACCTTCTCCTGGCTCCCCCTAGGAGAGGTGGCACGTGTTGGTTATCCCTCTGGAACACTTCTGTCCCCACCTTTCTCTAGTCATCCCTCTAGATCAGCTTGGGCACCACTGCCTTTTAGAAGCCTTTGCCTTGTGCACAAGTCCACGTGAAGTACCTTCCTGGGGGTCCCTGCCCCCTGTCATTTGTCACTCTGCCTCATAATTGCCAGTGTGTTCATCCTGGTCACTCATTAGAGAACTCCTCGAAGGAGGGACCACTTCTGTCAGTCTTGGTCATAGCCTGTGTACCTCACACACTGCCTAGCGTGCAGTCTCTGTCCAATGAATATTCATGAGATGGATGAACTGATTTTTTAAAAATAGAATTTGTATAGACAGTTATTAGCAATTTACAAAAATTTTGTCAACCCTTATTTCGTAGCATCATAACAAAGCTACTTCCAGTTTAGAAATAGAATATCAGGGCTGTAGTGACATCTTCATTATTTCTATATTCTAGTCTAAGGCCATAGTAATTTCTTTTTAAAATACTAGCATAACTGTTACCATAATCCCCTAATACAGCATGATACTTTGAATACAGAGCTGTCTTCCTAGCCAGCATTAGTATTTGTGATTGTTTAACCAAAAGTTTTCTTTTTTTAAAGTATTTATGCAAAAATCTCTTGTCTGGTTTTTTTTTTTTCATATTTGCTATATCAACAGATTATCTTACAGAAATTTAACAACATAAAAAATAAATGTAAATACAAAGTTACAAATGTTTAGGTTATTTTGGTGAATAGTAACAAACTATGATATTTGGCAGTATTCTTGCCTTAAAATTAATCTTATTAAAAATAAAAGGAATTATTATGGTGGATCTGCTTCGCTAGTCAGTGCGGAAGCATACATATTATGGTTCCATTAAAAGTAAGCTTTTAACATTTCTCACATCAGTAGTAGATAATACTTTTACAAATGAAAGCAGAACTTCAGTGCCCATCAGGACCCTGGTCTTCACTCCAAATACTGTTCTGTTTCATTTTGTTTTTTTTCAAAATTTCATAGATTTAGTCTCTGAAAGTTCATGTCACTCATTCTATCCAGGAAAGAAAAAAAAAAACATGATATGAAATGAAAAAAAGAAAAAAGTTTTAAAATAAGTTTTACATTTTAAAATGATTAATATTAGTTATTTTGAATTTTAAAGTTATTAAAGCTGCTGATTATAGGATTATACAATTCCTGCTTGCCTTTATTGTGCAAAATGTGGGACATCTCTAACAAGCCACCATCTTACCTGACAGCTCTGGAGCCTCCCAGCTCAATTGCCTGGGATTTATACAAGATAAAATTACAGTGTGTGCAACAAATGACTCGTATCAGATGACCCGAGAAAGAATGACCCAGGCAGAGGAGGAGTCCCGCAACCGAAGCACAAAAGTTATCAAACCCGGTGGACCGTATGTAGGTTGGTATAGATATATTTCTCCTTCTCGCTGATCGATTGGAATAATTCAAGATCACTATAGGTAAATATTGGTAATATTAACTTAATGAAAACACAGAAATTAGTACTGAGAATATTTTGAAAAACATGGTCAAAAGTCATTTGTCCTCTTCATACTGCTGATGGAATAGATGGAAGTTTTACTTCTTTTATAAATCCCAAATCTTCTATTGGCTATTTATTATTGCTTTACAATACTGGGGATCTGGTCAAGTTACTTTATTATGTGAGATTGTGATAGTGGTACCGCTGTGTTTATCACTGGATGATGTAATTTCAGTGGTGGACAGTATGGTTCTTATTTTGCACTTGTGTGGAGTGATTTTTTTGTAGTAAATTCTATTAGTAGAACTTAGAGTTTTCTATTAGAGTCAAAGGATCTTTGCACAGGAATTTTTATTACAAAAGTATAAAATGTATTTATAACAAAGCATTAGTTAGTATAATACTTCTTTGGTACCTCAATTGTGATTATTATCTCAATTATGAATCCTCATCTCTTCATTGATTAAGAGACTGCCCCACTCCTGTCATTTTTATCATCAGCTCACTCAAGTATCCCTCAGATCAAAGGGAAGACCAGACCAGCCAAATGAGTCTCTCCTTTGCGAGACTATTAACAATAGTAACAGAATTAACCCAGAGTGAGGATAAGCTCTACGAGGCCTTGGCTAGTTTAATAACACAAGTCACTGGATAGTAAATGATGAAAGGATAATCGTTTGAAAACATAAATGCTCACAAAAAGTCTCTTGAATAACCAAATCCCTTAATCAACATCTTTCTACGGTTTGGTATAATTCTACTTCTGTATTTGCTCATTGCTGCCCCAGTTAAAATGCATTCAGCTTTGAGAAGCTCCACTAGTATCCGTAATAAGTATTTCTTTGGAACAGAGCCAGTGTTCCTGGGACTTGGTGCTTAGCTTAGATACATTTAGTTTGGTTTAACAACAATTCATGGCTTCCCCAGGTATCTGTACCCACGGGGCCCAGTTCCCTGCCCAGTAAGTTATAAGCAATGAGATTTTTCATCTTCTCTTTCCTACCTGATAAGGTAACAACTTCCAACCTCCTTTCTTTTTTCTCACAAGTAACCTAATTAACTTTAGTAAGCTCAATCTTGTTGTTTCTAAAATGTGCAGGATCTGCTGCACTTAAATTTAAGTGCAAGCTATGAATTTACTGCCCCTATTGCTTTGAGTGGTTTTTAACTGTCCAACACTACCAATTTATAAAACATGAGGTAAACTGGTGTATTTAACAAAGGAAGAGAAGACTGAAGCCATCAGAATGATTATTTTTTTCTTCCCAGTATAACCAGTTGAAAACCTTCACCTTAATTTACTCTAAAACTTGAAAATTGGCAGTGATCACTGTACTTTTCCAGTGAAAGATCCTTGGGTGTACCCTGTGTTCATGTGTTTTTGTTTGTTTTGTAGGGTCGGTACAGTTCATTCACAGCTTACACAACAGACTTTTCAACACCCAGAATCACTCAGACCATACTTGCCCTAATGGTATGGGACTTTTGAAACTTGCAGGTTTCTTATTGGCACTACCAATAATTTATATACATTTTTTAGAGTGACCACACAGAATTTGAGGTTATCTAAACTTCTGAACAGGATTTCATCTCTGCCCTGTGAAGATGCAAACACATACGTCCCCCTGGCGGTGATCTCTGCCAACCCAGGGCTCTGTTAGCCTTCTCCTCAGCACCCTGGGCTACCCCGTCACAGCACAGTCTTCTCTGGTCTTCAGTCTTGTCATTAACCTCCTCAGCCCTTTATTCTCCGGGTCAAATAATCCCGGCTCCTTTTAACTTTTCTTAATATGGCCCGCATCCCAAACCTTTAATTATTCTTATTGCTCTCCTCTGGACTGCCTCCAGTCCTTCACCTCAGAACTCAAAACTGCACACGCTATCCTTAAGAAAAGACTGATCCAGAAAATATGACTGATCAGTTCTTTGTACAGTAGAGCAGAAGACTCCAGCTTGGCTATGCTGTATTTGTTTTATTATGGCGTGTTTTCATCTTTTTCTTTTAATTCTATCCAGTACCAGGCCCTTAGCATGTGCCTTTCCTTCCAGGCAGTGTGGTTTGTATCCTCCTGCTTTTTCCAGTATCTCAAAACTGACTCACTCAGCTCTTTAAAATGCTTGTCCGTCACCCTTCAGTACTAACATTACTCAGCACTTAATGAGTGCTTCTGATGCACAAGGGACTGGTTAGCACTGTACACGTAGTCAGTCATCTAAAGCTCACAATCACCCTATGAGGTGGGTAATCATTGCCTCTCCATTTCACATATGAAGCTGTTGGTATCAGCAAATAGCAAAAACCAGGAGTTTGGCCTCATTAACAAGTTGTGGTTTTTTCCATAAGACAATAGGAGATAACCTCTTTAGTTCATAATTGAATTTATCTTATGAGATGATAACAGAAGTTGACCTCTGCCAGCTCAGAAGCCCCTGTAGAACAAGGTTTGTTTTAATAGTGTCAGCCGGGTAGAAGACAAATAGAAATAACGCTTGTGTCACTGTGGGTTGTGATGGCATCATGCCAGGCCTCTGACAGTTGACTTAGGGCACAAGCCCAGCTTCAGGAAAGGAAGGCTGAGCTCCTAGGGTTCAGCTAGCCTAGGCAACCAGGAACGTGAGCTTCTATGACCCTCCAGTGGGCTGGAGAGAATAAAGAAAAGTCTATTTGCCTAGAAAGGAACAGGAGAAGCTTTAACCTAGAAAACATGGTTATCGTGTCATCAGTAATATGTCCAGTTGTAGTCATGCCATTTATATCAGTGATGAGCACTGCTGTATTGTTATGATCCTTCCCCTTTGTTTAAAACAAAACACTATCACCTCGTTTACCTGGATTTTATGTCGGCTCACTGACTCCTATCTAAATTCTGGAAATTTATTGAATCATAAATTTGTAAGCATGCTGTTTATTTAGGAATATTAAATAACCCAACCAATGTAATTTCTAAGATCCTTTTTCCAGTCTTTCCAACTTCTGCACCCATCCTCCTTGTTTTTGATGTTAGTACCTGTTTGAGTGACCTTGGACAAAATAATTTAACATGGAGACCTTAATTTTCTCAAATATTAAATAAAGGGTTTTGAACTTAGGTTAGCGTCTAAGGTCCTTTGTCATTCCAGCATTCTGTGACTGATGTTTACATATGTTTTAATAGTAAACCTTTTGAAGAAGTGATCCTAAATGCTAAGTAGTGGAAATGGTTTCCACGGCAGAAGATTATGTATTTTACCATGACAGTGTCACACCACTGTCAAGGTCCTGCCAGTGTTTTTATTAAAGCCTCAGGTCAGTATTGCCAGGGTTTCTGGTTAGGTTCCACAGAACAGAGAAACAACTGCAGAAGACAGCTGCCATCCCTGCTGTCCTTCCTGCAGCCTGTTTTAACACCTTCCTTTCAGATTGTTTACTCAAAGTCATTAAAGGGATAAGTACTATCACCAGTGCTTTAAACGGAGAAGCTCAAAGTGGACTCCTTGTTAGGAAACAAAATGGTTCAGATTTAGTCCCAGATTACCCAACTCTGTCTGACCTGCTGCTGCTGTTTATATAAGGAGCCCAGGGAATTGATTAGCAGTTGGGTTTGGGAAGAGAATTAGGTTCTCCCGTGGGCTTTATTAAAAGGGCTTTTCTGAGGCAAATGTAAGAAAATAAAAATAAAGCCTTTCTTCTGCCCACTTTGAACCTGACATTTTTTTTTTTCTTTTTTAACTTTAGCATCTCAATTCTATAACTGCTTACATACAATACTGATGTTTTCTTCATCTGTAGCCTGTCTTCCCTCAAATCAGAGGACTTCTTCCTGGTTGAATTGGCACAAATTGATGGGGAGGCGGGGAACCAGTGACTTTTGTGTAAAACCCATGGCCCAGTGTGGCTCCATTCTTCTTTCATCATTTGAAAGAAATGAGTTACTCTGCAACTGGCTATTTAAAATGAGGTAAAGGTGAAGTGGGTGTTCTAAGCATAGGAGACTCATCGACTATGATAGTCTAGCATCCCATCCCAGCTGAGACTCCAAGGCAGTCATATCCCTAACCAGATCCTAATTTCTTGCCAGACATCATACTTAGACCCCTCTTAAGGGCTGAGTGAGCCTGCCTTATTTGGCTGCCCTCTGTCCATGCCAGGGAGGGTGGGGTGAACTCAGGAGAGCTTGGGGGCTCTCCTGAGACTGGGAACCAGAGGTTGGTCAGACCTACAGAAGAGGTCGGGCAGCCTGCGACACAGTGATAGTCCTGTTTTTGTTTTTATTTGTATTTACCTTCCTTGCTGGCCTGAATTCATTCTAAATCACCAGTCATGGTATGTGTGAGTTAGCTAAAAACCATTCTCTGCCCCTCCCCTTCCCCAGAGAGTGTGGGAAACGGATCCACAGTCAGCTTGGTTTGGGGAAGTGGAAGTTAAGCAGGTTTCAGGGGGGAGGGGAGTGCAGAATTTATATCATTTCCTAAACTTTCATGACCTTTATTCTTTCTTTCCACAAATTCCTATTAAAATTTCAAGGAATAGTGCTATTTGCTAAGACTGTTGCAACTGAGAAGTGGTGGATTGGAAGGTTTGCAGTTGCAGTATTAGATATTTCAACGTGTCTGCAGACACTGGCAGCCTCGTCGTGTGGGAAAACATGGGGCAGGCCACCTTGGTTCTGCTCCTCTGCCACCTGCTTGTTCTGCTGTCGTTCACTGTGACACTCTGATGGCCAGCTCACTTTGTGAGCCATCAGAACCTGACTGACAAAGCAGCCACGGCTTTGTCTACAGGAAGCTGGCAGCCCAACAGGAATCAAGAACAGACATTGGGCATTTGTTCGCAAAACCTTTTCAATAAAAGAAGTACAAGTAGGAAACCTTGGGTATTCATCACGGAAACTTCCAAATACTAAATGAGCACTGTACTGTGAGCTTATCCCATTGGAACTCTACTTTTCTCATCTGTGAAATGGGACCAAGGCCCACCTCATCAGGTTAACTGTGACACTATGTTATATGTCTCAGCACGGTGCCCCACCCTCATCCTGTAATTGGTGCAAGATAAATATTAGTTCCCTTCACATCTGACACTGATCTAACAATCTCTGAAGAAAAATACAGAAAACAGATCTAAACCCACCTCTAAAACTCTAATTGTACCTTAATTTAATAGCTTCTCTTATCACTGGGCTGCTGCTGCTGCTGCTGCTGCTAAGTTGCTGCAGTCGTGTCCGACTCTTCCCAACCCCATGGACTGTAGCCCACCAGGCTTCTCCGTCCATGGGATTTTCCAGGCAAGAATACTGGAGTGGGTTGCCATTGCCTTCTCCTTATCACTGGGCAGTGACCCTTTAATGTTGGTTCCTTTGTTGGTCAGTATTTTGATCTGATATTTACAATTGGTTATGTCCAGATTATAAAGAAATGTAAGAGCCAATGAGATCGTTCTTTCTCCTTAAGGTAGGATTACATCAAATAAACAGCCCCTTTGGCCAGGCCTTGAGGACCCAGCATGGGCAGGACTACTATTCAGTAAAGTGCCTGCCCCACAGCGCTGCTTTCACCCAAGGTCACAGCACAGAAGAGACTGTTCTTGCTTCCCCATCATTTCTAATTGCTAGTATTGTGCCTCGTGCAGTTGCTCCACACTGTATGTCATCACCGGTTCTTCCTTCTCTTTAACCCAAGGGCACAGAGTTGGAAGCTTTTGTAATGAACTCTGAGATTTCACCGTAGAAATCATAAAGTGAGGGTCAATCCAGTTTCATTTTCATTTGTTTCTTCTGCAAGGAATGGTCACCAGGTATTGTCAGTGACCAGCCACATCCTGATGGCTTCACCCACACATAGAATCCACACAGCCCACAGTATTTTCTAGAAGCAGCCGCTTGCCCAACACTTGTCACTGTCAAGTTTAAGCAAACAGTGAGTTGATTGTGTGCATAGCACTGGCCTGTGCAGACCTGGGGTGAGGGCCTCCTCGTAACCGCTTCCACTCCTCTAACTCACCTAGGTAGTCTCAGCACCACAGAGGAGGGATCTCATTGTCTGGCCTGCTGAGACTGGGTGGGTTGGTTGGTTGGTTTTGTTTGCTTTTTGACTCAGAGTTTGTTGTGGTCTGTTGAAAAGCAATATCACTCGTGAATACCCTGGTGAAGGTTGACCCCAAATTACAACTGCCTCTCCTCTTCGTGGCTTCTGAATCTGTGAAATTAAGCTAATGACTGAGCTCAGTTGAGAGTATGTCGTTAGTGAGACAGATATTTTCCACATTTAACATGTTCATTGTATTCATAACTGTCAAACAACATACAATATGTAGGTGTAAGTTCTGTAAGTAGCACCGGTGAGCGTGGGAATTATTTCCACCTAACATCAAATGCCTGCAGCCTTAAAATGTCCACTGTGTCACTAGTTATTATCCATGTGTAGCTAAGTGGCCAAAATGTTTCTATAAGTTTTATTTATTCCAGTGAATGATTCTATCAGAAAATTCCAAGTCCATATTTTAGGCCATTTATTCAGAATGCTTTCAGTTTGCATATCTTCCTATAAAACAAAAGCTGAAATATGAGGTCTTTATTCCTTCCAGAAATGAAAAGGTACCTAAATCAGAGTTGTGGAAATTGAGATGCTCATGATGTTACTACCCGCAAATGTGTTAACAATGTCATTTCTGCTGGACTTTAGGAAAAAGAGTGCAAATTCGGAAAGCTCCTCAAGCTGTTTCAGATGCAGTGCCTGAGAGGAAAAGGTCAACACCCATGAACCCTGCAAATACGATTCGCAAGACACACAGCAGCAACAGTGTCTCTCAACGGCCGTATCGGGACAGGGTGATTCACTTGCTGGCACTGAAGGCCTATAAGAAACCTGAGCTGCTGGCCCGACTGCAGAAAGACGGTGTCAATCAGAAAGACAAGAACTCCCTTGGAGCCGTTCTGCAGCAGGTGAGGAGAGCTGGAGAGAGTTTGGTCTGCCCACCGTAAGAAGGCTTGTTATTGTTGTTATCATTGTTATTGAGTTAGAGAAATTTAAGGATCATTTTGGTCAATGGTATGTGAACATTAACTTAAATTCATCTTGGTTTAAACATTTAATGAAAAAATAACTGAAATGTGGACAGTTACACTAGGTTTTATAAGTTAGAGGCTTCTGAATGATTAAAAAAAGTTTCAAGTCATTATCTTCATTTGGATTAAACAAATTTTGCTTGAAAGTCCATTAAAAAAAAAGAAGTTTTTGCCGTCTGCTTTTAGTACTGAATGTACTAAACTGTTGCCATAATTTTTACTGGTTTTTGTAGATGAAGTTATGCAGTGTGTTTTTTTTTTTTTTCATTTATTTTTATTAGTTGGAGGCTAATTACTTTACATCATTGCAGTGGTTTTTGTCATACATTGAAATGAATTAGCCATGGATTTACATGTATTCCCCATCCCAGTTCCCCCTCCCACCTCCCTCTCCACCCGATCCCTCTGGGTCTTCCCAGTGCACCAGGCCCGAGCACTTGTCTCACGCACCCAACCTGGGATGGTGATCTGTTTCACCCTAGATAATATACATGTTTCGATGCTGTTCCTGGTCTTCGGTATAAGCTAGAATATTTTTACCCTCTAAATAATTTTGAATGTCCCACCCTGCGTGCTCTGTCTGTCTGTAATACTCTGCCTTTTTCTACCACTGATATGCTGAAGTCAGTCACCTATCTTCATTAAAGGGTATAAATGTGCTAAGTATTAGCTCTGATCAGTTACCATAAAATAACAAGCTTACGTATAAATGTAGGTCATTCCTTTTGTTAAAGTCAACAGTTCTTCAGGCTGTAACTTCCTGCATTTTTCAGAATGACTTTGGGTCACAAATGTTGGTTAGCATTTAAATTCACTATAAATCACAGTCTGCTTTCTTTTTTTCTAAAGCAGTAACATTTTCAAAGTTCTTAAATTTCATCTTTAAAAAATAAACCCTCAGGTTTCCATCTATTATTCAAGGAATAACATTTTTAAGTCTATTTTTTTCATCTATTTTCTCTTATATTCATGTCATGATACTAAATGTCATGAAAGAGTAAAATCATAGTCTTCAGTTCTGGGTTAACCAGTCCCCAAGATATCTTGAGCAATCTCAACCATCTTATTAAGTCATTTGAGTCCTTTTTGAAAACACTTAATTTAAGTCCATCTGTCACATAGCAGTTTTAAGAGCTCAAGAGACAGAATGAAAGAATGAATGAGGATGAAGATATAGTTACGTGTGTTCAGTTTTTTATTTGGAGAAGGAGGGAGGTTCATGTTATAAGTCACAAAATAATTCATGACTGAACTACAGAAAGGTTGTAAATTACCTCCTAGGTTAGAGGATGAGAGGGCAAAATGATGGCAGAGGCAGTTCACACAGAGGCTGCTATTGATGTGTGTCAGTGTTCTTGTGATCATGTTTATGTATATGATTTTTAAATGTAGGTGTACTTCCTGAGCAAGTGAGACATGAGTGCCATTACTTCTGACTATCTGATAGAATCTAGAGCATAGTCTCATCCTAGCTGCAGATTAGAATCCCTTAGGGAGCTTTTTAAAAAATGCCAGTTCCTGGACTTTGCCCCAGAGCAACAAAATGGGGCAACTGAATGGATATTGAGCCACTGATTAAGATGGAGAGCAAAGGAAAAGGAACACATGTATGCAGAGGAATCAGGAATCCTGTCTTACACGCCCTCTCTTTGGAAGATGTCTGTTAGACATACCCAAATGGAGATGGATATTCAGTAGGTAGTTACATGTAAGGATCTGGGCCAGAGGGCAGTTGAAGCTAGAGTTATAAATTAGGACCTAACAGAATGTAGATTGTAAGATCGTTGTGTTTATTTCACTTAGAGAAATCTGGTTGTATCTCATTTTAATTTATTTTTAAATTTTAAGAGAAACCTATTGTTTTCTACTGTATATCAACATTGTTAGTATTCAGCTGAGCTGTGAGAAAAGCATAAAATATCTATTATAATTTATAGCACTTGTAAAAGACACAGAAAGAAGTAAAGTTATTAAAAAAGACCATTCCAGTAGGAAAATAAAAGAATACCTCTCTGCCAGCCTTGGAAATGACTCTTGGTTCAGCCCCTGAATCCATACTTTTATGTTGTTAATGGAGCCTGGGCCTGGACACAAGGAACTGTAGTTAAGGGATAAGAAGAGATTACACTTGATAAGCTGGCTGACTAATAACAGTAATTTGGGGGTTGTTTTGGTTTCTGTTTCCATTTATTGGTTTTGGGGAATTTCAAGGACTTTGAAAAAGTGGTTCTTCAGGAGAACTGGCAGCTATAAGGAGCAAGCTTAGCAAGCCAAGAAGATGGCACACAAGATCATCAGAACTGATACTATTTATGAAGATAATTTCTGTTGATTACTGAAGGGAAAGTTTTGTAAACCAGCATTTGGGCACTGTGATTTCTACTTAATACAAGTGGTCAAGGACTTGTATAGTGACTCAAAAGTAATGGAGTTAATGTTGTATGGTTGCTAAGTCCTAAGTCTTTTGCAACCCCACAAACTATAGCCTGCCAGGCTCCTCTGTCCATGGGATTTCCAGGCAAGAATTCTGGAGTGGGTTGCCATTCCCTTCTCCAGGGGATTTTTCCAACCTAGGGATAAAACCGCATCTCCTGCATTGACATGTGGATTCTTTACCACTGAGCCACCTGGAAAGCCCCAATGGAGTTATAGCCAGAAGTAAATAATGAAGTTGTTAAGAAAACTGTTTTGGATTCCTTTGACTAGGAAAAAAAAAATTATTTAAAAAAAAACATTCCTCCCACTTTTGCATAATGGTGTAATTACTCTAACAAATACAGCAGCCATCCAGGAAAAAAACAAAATTTAAATATGCATATAAAGTTTTATTTAATTACCCAAATGAAGTAAAATAGTATTTATTGAGATCTGGTATATCAAAGCTAGCAGTCCCCTTTGGAGCCATATGGTATAGTTATTTTCAGTATAAATCCAAAAGATTGCCTTAGGCTAGGAAATCGCAAAAAGATCTCATGTTCTGTTTTCACACCATGTTCCAGGTAGCCAATCTGAATCCTAAGGACCTCTCATACACCTTAAAGGATTATGTTTTTAAAGAGCTTCAAAGAGACTGGCCTGGATACAATGAAATAGACAGACGGTCATTAGAGTCAGTGCTCTCAAGGTAAGTTCTTTTTTTTTTTCCTGCCTTTAAAAATGACGCAAATAAGTAATTATTTTAGTCATTGTTAGTTTAGGGTTGAGATGAAAACAAAGAAGCAAGGGTAGGCTTTCTATCATGAGCATTTGAAAACTGTCTCCCTAACTGGGACATGTGTGTGCTTTACAGAAAATTAAACCCATCTCAGAATGCTGCCAGCACCAGCCGTTCAGAATCTCCTGTATGTTCTAGTAGAGACACTGCATCTTCTCCTCAGGTATTGCATAAACTTATATAATCATAGCCCTGAAATGGACTTTAGGTACCATTTTTTTCAGGTTGTCTGATTTACACGTAAGAGAAATGAGACCCAGAAAAGCTATATAGCCTCCCTACCCAAAGTCACATAGCTAGTTGTGACTAGCTCAGACAGAGCTCACTCTCGAATTCAGATCCCAGCTCCCAACCCAGAACTCTTCACCACTGTATAGCACTACTTGTCATTACTTAATGTCTACCTTGCTATTCGGTTCTTAAAGTTTACATTTTGAGATTATCTACTTTTCCATTTAATCACTAACTAGAAGACAATATTTATTCAGTCCCATACCCAGTCTTAGATTATAGAGAAAATTGAATATATTTAAATTTATCTGAAGCATATTCTAGCAAAATATTCCCAGGGAAAAATGTTTTTAAAACAAGCAAATACAAAGTTCTGCCATTTCCATATATGTTTTCTCAAAGCACTTTTTGACTAGATCCCAATCAGACTATTCCAGTTAGACTCCATTCCAGCTTAGAGTTTCCCCTAAAAGATTCAGTTGGAAGAAGGTGTGGAGATCCTGAGCACCATAAGAGTTCAAGCCCGCCTGCTTCTCAGACCACCTTGAACCCACTCAGGGCTCTGGGACTAGAGGTGAGACCAGCCTGTCTCCCCCAGTGCTGCAGACAGTGCTCCTGTCCCTGGACCCCCTCCCCAGGCTTAGGGAGATGGGACAGATGTGGAGATCAACTCTCTACTTCCCTTTTCATTTTAAATACTGTATTGTTGTTGCTGGATTAGGCTGATATTAGCATGATTTTTTTTGTAATTTTTTGAAACAGAAATTCCATATTGTTTTTATGGACCAGTTGTTAAGACTTACCTTCTAATCCAGTGAAGAGAGATGTTTAAGGGGGGGCCGGGGAGGAAGTGGATAGTATTTCAGCAATGATAGAGATTTATAGAGAAACTATCTTGAAGGTGCTGGTTGTTCCCATCTTAAGACGGGGGAAATAATAAGTAACAGCCATAATACTCATAACTGCAGCATCTTAGCACATTCAAAGAGATCAAGTAAGTGTAGGCTTGTTGCCCAGTTCCTACCCCTGTTGATTCTGACAACCAATAACGGTTGGTTATATTCAGAGGAGGTTCTCACTGAATATAAGTAGGTCAGCCATGGCCAGCAGGAGGAGGAGGCCACCTCTATTTAATACACTTCCTGAGTGATATAACCCACATAAATTGGCCTAGTCTCTCAAGTGGAGAAGGCAATGGCAACACACTCCAGTACTCTTGCCTGGAAAATCCCATGGACGGAGGAGCCTGGTAGGCTACAGTCCACGGGGTCGCGAAGAGTCGGACACGACTGAGCGACTTCACTTTCACTTTTCTTTCTCATGCATTGGAGAAGGAAATGGCAAACCACTCCAGTATTCTTGCCTGGAGAATCCCAGGGACAGAGGAGTCTGGTGGGCTGCCATCTATGGGGTCGCATAGGGTTGGACACGACTGAAGCGACTTAACAGCAGCAGCAGCAGTCTCTCAAGGAACTGAGGGTGGGGTTGCATGATCAGAAAGTATAATCTGATTTATTTCTTCAAGAAACATGTTAGGGGGCCTTCCCTGGTGTTCCAGTGGCTAAGTCTCCATGCTCCCAATGCAAGGGGTCCAGGTTTGATCCCTAGTCAGGGAACTAGATCCCACATGCCCCAACTAAGACCCAGTGCAGCCAAAAAAATAAATATATTAAAAAAAAGAACCATATTTTTCCAGATTCTGGTTTTTTTACACTAGACATGAAAACTTATTGTAGCTTGTGGCTTAAGCTCAGAATAGTTAACAGGATGCTGGTGATAAATTTAAATTGGTTATAAATTTAAGTATGAATAAAATTACTCAGTTCATATGGTAACAAGTGACATATGTATTACATTTTAGTGCAAACTGGCTCATTTACTTTTTTTTCTTCTCTGTTCCCCCTCACCACCACCACTAGAAACGGCTTTTGGATTCAGATTTCATTGATCCTTTAATGAATAAAAAGGCTCGAATATCTCACCTGACAAATAGAGTGCCGCCAACATTAAATGGCCATTTGAATCCCACCAGTGAAAAATCTGCTGCAGGCCTCCCGCCGCCCCCTGCAGCCGCTGCCATCCCTACTCCTCCACCACTGCCTTCAACCCACCTGCCTGTCTCCAACCCGCCTCAGACTGTAAATTCTAACTCCAATTCCCCTAGCACTCCAGAAGGCCGGGGAACTCAAGACCTACCTGTTGACAGTTTTAGTCAAGATGGTAGTATCTATGAGGACCAGCAAGACAAATATACCTCTAGGACTTCTCTGGAAACCTTACCCCCTGGTTCAGTTCTACTAAAGTGTCCAAAGCCTATGGAAGAAAACCATTCGTCTCACAAAAAGTCCAAGAAGAAGTCTAAAAAACACAAGGAAAAGGACCAAATAAAAAATCACGAAGTTGAGATGATTGAGGAAAAGGAAGAGGACCTTAAGAGAGAAGAGGAAATTGCCAAGCTGAATGACTCCAATCCGGATTCCAATGAAGGTATTTTGCATTTGTGAAAACCCAACTCAGTGGGTTAAATGAACAGGAAGAGGGGGCTATTCTGAGTGTGAGAGGGTGCAGTTTAGAATTAGTAATGCTTTTTTTATCAAATGACCTGCTGTTTAGTTATTAATCTTAGTACTGTCCTTTGGAGCAAGTTTCTTTCTCTTCCGTTTTACAGTAGTCATTTTCTGTCTCTTTTTAGCCAACTATTAACCGTGGTTTTCTGTATTTGTTAATAAGATGGTGACATCTGAAAATGACCTTTGGTCCTCCAGGGACCCCCTTTGAGAAGGTGGACTTTGTTGCTCTTCTCCAGAGCTGTCACAGTATTGTGCAACCTCAACGTGACCTATTATATGCCATTCTTGAACTGATTTAACCAGACACACAATTAGCAATAAAAATACTCATTTCCTTCTTTGCCAAAGAAACAGGGTCAACCCCGCTTTAATTAATAATAGCACAGGGGAAATGTCAAATTCTTTATAAAACAGGTGAGGTAAAATTACATATACAGATCTGTAGCATCATCTTCATTCAGAGTGAAAGCAATTTGTCTTGTGCAAGGCTGTTCGTGACTAGCTTGATAGATTTGGGTTTTTGTTTTTTTTTTTTTCTTTTTTCCCACCCTAATTTTGAGAACATTGTTTGAGTAAACTAACATCAGTTGTTATTAATAAATTTAACCATTTCAAGTTTCTGGAAGCTTTAAAAGTCAAATATCTAGAGACCCAAAGAAGCCTAAAATAATGCTTTACTTCTGAAGAACAGCTAGTTGGTAGAAAAGACTGCTTATCTAAGGTGTATCAATCTTTAAAACCTAGACACAATTAGATTTCTCTTACTCCTTATATTTAAAATGTAATGCCTCACACACCAGCATAGAGAAGATCCATGCTTATCATTTAGGACTACTACAAGTTTTAAACCCAGCATAACTAAGGTAAAATTCCCCAGAAAAATACAACTTTAGAAAATGTACTTCAATGATTAGACTTTAAGGAGTTTTATCTTTATGTGATTCGTCCATAATACTGAAAGCTTATGGTACTTAGATTTAACTGACTGTTTTAACAATAGGAGAAAAGCGTTGATTATGGGGATAGTATGATTCAGTGCCTTTACTGACGTGGGTTGAGTATATTGCTCATCAAAGCATAGCTGTTGAAATATTTAGATCAGCATGGTAGTATATAGTAGCCCAAGAGTCAGCTGTAAGCTTTTTCCCTCAAACACTATCATACTTGAATTTGCCGGATCAAGAAAAGAGAGAATAATGAAACTTTGTGCTCAGTCAGCCAGATTCCTGGGTATGCTCCACTCCACACTTCCACCATCAGAAGGTAATCCTGAGTCAGAGGCGTCTGCTGGGAGGACTGGATCCCAGAACATTGAGTCCTACAGCAGGGTTTGACTATTTTCCCACTTGGAAGCCAAGAGAAGCAGACCTGGTTTCTAAATCCTTCACTGAGGATGGCCTAGCCAGTCGAGATTATCATAAACCGAGGACCGATTCAGACCCACATGTTCTGCACCCATTGGAATTTATCTGGTGTCTGTGGCAAAGGAGAAGCCAGGTGGCAAGCACTCAATGCCTTTTCCTTTAAGACTCGGGCTGTTGTAAAAACAGGCTTTTACCTAAGCCTGAATCAGATACGCACACACAGTAAGTCCACACAGTCTGCATAATTTGTTTAGTGTGCTTTGTCCTTTAAAATACTAAACCAAGAAATTATTAAATACTCACTCTTGTTTAATATTGAACATGTATGTTTTGCCAGCAGGCAGGCCTTGGGTTTGAATAACTAGTTTAATTCTACTTTGAATGATAAAAAAATTACCCTAATAAAAAGTCTAAACATACCCTCTGGAAGTGGTACATTCAAACAAATGGGATACTGAGGGATTCACAGCATAGTTCTGAGTGACTGGCACTTTATTTATCTATTTATTTTGGCCTCTTAAGAAAAAAGCCATGTATGACTATGAGGGTTAGAGATTAGAGGAGTGTAAATTGTTCACTAATAACATTTTAAATTACTTAAAACTGATGGGGAGCCTTCCTGCCCAATTGTGCTGTCTGCATACAAAAAGAATAGCAGCAAAACTACAGTGACTGAAGCAGTCTGCTACCTGACTTCATTATCTCATCTGCCTTGTTTGAATCCTACGAGAAATAGATGTTGATATAAAGTTTGTATCTCCCATTGTCTAGCTGCATCTGCCACCACAGTCTTTGAATTGCTGGGCAGATGCCACAACTGTTGTTGAAAGAATAGAAGACTGACCTTGGGTTAAGATGGAATTCCTTTATTGTGCAGACACTGCAGTAGCCAGGGTGCTTTCAATGCCTGGCGTCGGTTCTGCTGGCGCTGGTCACAGGGCCTCTATTGTTCCTGCTCAATTGTATTCCTTGCTCACTGTTGCTTATTGAGATGGAAGAATAGAATTTGAGGAAAAGTGTTCCAGATGTTTCTGATCTATTTTAGAATTATAGGCATTTTGTAACCATCCTGTTTGGTGAACGCTTGAAAAAATATATATATATATTTTTCTTTGCAGGAGTTAAAGAGGATTGCACTGCCTCCACGGAGCCTTCTTCAACAATTGAACTCCCAGATTATTTGATGTAAGTTCAGATGTCTGCCGATGGGGGAGAACTGTTTAATTTTAGAAAGTATGCAAATTCTTTTCCCATAATTTGCAAATCAGAAAAGTAAGGCGTTCCAGAAATAGAGTCCTGGAGCCACCCCTGCAATTGAAAGGCTGCCATTAAGCCTGCTTGTCCCCAGTCCACTCTTGTCAGCTTCAACAGGTTGTGCCTGCCCCTACCCTGAGCTCTGCTCGGTGGCCTTTAAGTATAGAGAAGCCTGTCCTTTGTTCTGAGGCCAGGCCAAGCATTTGATTATGGAAGACTTCAGGGATCTCACTCTTCAAAGCTGACAGTCTGTCAGTACAGTCATTCATTTGGGACCCCCCCAAAGGGACAGTTTATTACTGATAAAGTGCTTAAGCCTCTGCAGTTAATACAAAGTAGAGATAGATGGCTTTTGATTTAAATAAAGCTATGCCATCAAATTAAGAGGAGAGAGCAGTAAAATTTTTCTTGTTGTGACAACAAGTTGCTAAATGCTAAGCTGGTGACTTTCTTACAACTGGTCATCATAGAAATTATAACTTGGACACGTAATTCTAGCTTTTTTTTTTTTTTTTTACAGACTCAAAGGCTTTTGTAAGAAGAAAATAATTAAGTTGCAAGAGCCTAGAAAAATGGAGAGTGAAAGAACACACAGATTTACCCACCAGTAGCTTAGAAAATTAACAGATAGCTTACATGTAGACTGGAAAATGGAACCTGGGCTGTATGAACATTTTTTCTTTATCAGTAGCATCTCATGGTGTACAAACTATGTGATTTAGTGCTCCGTGTCCCATGAAATGCTCATTTCCAGAGTATAAAACATTTTACACTAAAAATGTGTTACTTTGCTTAACAGTAGTGGTGAAAGCTATACTTATTTGGGAATGATACAGCATGGAATGATAATGCCGGTTATCATCCCTTAACTAAAAGGAATCCAAGAAACCATGCTGAGTACTCTCTCATCTTAAAAGTCTGTGTTGGCAAGAGCGGGTGGTGGTGGTGGCTGGAAAAGCTGCTGCTACTGAGTTAGCCAGGTCAGGGATGGATGGGGGACAGTGCCTGGTTCCACTGATGTGGGGGTCACCTCACAAATGCCTTCCCTTTAGTGAGAGGTGGCCCCCTCAAATAACAGCTGCAGTACTGTGCTCTCTTTCTCTTTCGATGGATTTTGAATTCCTCTTATATAATAGTAATACTGCTGTATATGTTACATTAGGACAAAATCATGTGGAGAGACTCCAAAGTAGTTCTCACCTTTCCCTCATGTATTCAGTGTTGCTATGTTTTGTCAACTTAACAATTAATTCTGTACTTAATAACTTGTTTTTAATTTACTGATCTACAGATGGTTGCTGCATCTGCCTCAATGCATTTCTGTATGTTTGTCATTTTCTAGCTCTTAAAAATCATGAAAATACATAACCTCCATGACTGCTTAATTTACTTAAGCAAAAGCATTTTAACAAAAGCTGTCTTATATAAATATTGCAGATTTTCTTAAAATAGTGATAAAGCATGAAATTTCAGAAAAATCACTAAAAATATAGAACTTAAACCTGTTTCTTAAGAAAACCAAAAGGACATCTTATAAAACCTTTAATGACCAGCCTCTGAATAATTCATACTGAACCACAAGTCCTAATTTTTTAATAATATGAACACTTCTTAATAAGATTGTGGTTGTGACTTACCCAAAGTATTTAACATTTTATTCCATCACTACATTACGAACCAACTGCAGAATCATAACAGTATTTATTAAAAATATCAAAATACTTTTCATTAAAATGTCAGTATAACCAAATAATCTTCTATAATAGCAACACAACTGTTGGCCACTTTGGTACTCTTTTCCCTTAGGGAGTAATTAAATTAAATAAGAAGGGTGTGGCCTCAGGTGTGATTTTGAAGAAAGTGGGATAAATGTTTTATATAACAAATGGAACCTGAGATTCAGCTAAGCCGTTTTGCTTATGAATGCTTATCCCCAGGAACCTTTCTAGAGAGGACAGCTTCCCTGCTTGGCTGGTGAGGTTCCTTTTATAGCAAGTACACCAGCAGGGCTAGCTTTAAATCAGCATACTACCACTGTCCCAATTACACTTAGAAAATTAAACCTCCACACGGTCTAACTCAGCATAAATAAAAATATTAATGAGGACATTAAGGTTGCTCACTGCATCACTTTTCTCACGTTTGCAAATAGATATCTGTGCTATTTTGCATTTTCAAAAAAACTGGTAAGATTGTCTAAAACCATTCTGGAGAGGACTGAACTCCCAAAATCTTCTTCAATAAAGAATAGATGTGTACCCCCAGGGCACCCTGAAACTGCTTCAAAATCTCAGTTTTTATCTCAAAAAATCAAGGGAATTTTGCATCCCATGACAGGAGCACAGATTGCAAAGACCCAGATCCACAAATGATATTATCTTTAATATTAAAATTCTGTTGGATTTACTTACCACCACTGACAGACTGACACTGGGAAGATGACCTTCGCTGTCTAGGTCCCTAGAGATACTCACGCCCTGAGGTAAAACATTTGTAGCCTTTCTATTAAGAAAATAAACTAACAGTATAAAACTGGCTTTCTGTTACAGTAATGTTTGTTATGTTACAGTATGACAGTAAATGTTTGAAAAGAGCTAGAGAATTATTCCTTTTCTCCCCCTTTTTATCTTTCCTAGTCTCTCATTTTTTTTAATGGTAAAACAATCCCCCTTTTGTATTTTATGTTTGCCTTGTCAGAAATAGGAGAGGCAGGGGAACAGCCTGAGGCACCTTGCTGGCAGCAGGTGTGAGAGGCTGAAAGACAGAGACTCCCTCTCATAGAGCAGCAGGTGTAGAGAGAGCTCTGCCTTCAGCCCTTGGTGACTGTGTGAAATTCTCCTGGTCTCACAGCGCCCCACCAGCCCTCCTGTCTCCACGTGACTAACAGATGGGCTGGCCCCTGCCGCTAACATGGCAGTCAGTTATTTCAGGTACAGAAAGGTGGGGAGGCTACATCTGTGCAAGTGCTGGCTTCTAGTTGCACTTTCATTCCATTGCCACCATGGTTTTCCTCCCCCGCCCCCCCCCCACATTTATTCTCCTTCACCAAGGTTTTAAAACTCTTCTGTGGGATAATTTCACCTGGAAGGTCTTTGAAGGAATGGCAGGCTGCAAGCAGTGGCAGAGTGGGACTCAACCTAGGGAAACAACGCACAGATGTGGTTTCCAAATATTTGGCTTAAAGTGTTTGTTCTACAGCTCCTCTCCATTTACCTTTTGTCTTATTAGAAAATATATTGCCATCGTCTCCTACGAGCAACGCCAGAATTACAAGGATGACTTCAATGCTGAGTATGATGAATATAGGGCCTTGCATGCCAGGATGGAGACTGTGGCTAGACGATTTATCAAACTGGATGCACAGCGAAAGCGCCTTTCTCCAGGCTCAAAAGAGTATCAGGTAAACACACGTGCTCCTAGATGGACTGACTTTCATATTTTACCTTCTTCCTCTCTGCCCTGCCCATCCCCAGACATCCTACTAGCCTTCAGAACAGGTCCTTTCACAGACGAACCTCTCTGCAGCTTTTGGCCTTGACTTAGAATTAGCTAAGAAAATAAATATTTGAAATAGTTCTTAAAAATAAGTAACATGATGAGCCTCTATTTCCGCCAATGTAAAAAAAAATCACTATTTTTACATAATATGTATAAAATGTGTAATATATACTTATATACTTCCTGTGACATAACATAGAGATGACTAAATAGGAAAAAACAAAAGGCTGGATTTGGGATTCATCAAAATATTTGACTGCGTTACCTACTCAACTCAGACTATAGTTCTTATCTAATGCTATTGCCCAAAATTACTATTTTGAGTAAATTTATTTATTTTAAACCTCAGCCTGGCATAGAATATTAAAGGGAGCCTAAGACCACTCAGGTTTGGGGTTTAAGTAAAGAAAAGCGTGGTGCTTCCAGCTACTCCAGCTACTGACATTTGTTAGCAGGTATTAATCCGCTCTCACTTACCTACCTTAAGTGGTACATTACTACAGCTGACACACAACAGGAGAAGCCTGACCTGTCTCCACAGTGTTCTTAGAGCTCTCAGCCAAAGGACTGGTATAAATGGGAGTTCCCCTCCTTGTATAGATAACTTTGTCACATTTCACAGCCACAAATGGTGTCTCCATCGTAGTCCACTGTTGTTCCGGCAGGAACCTACACGGGAAAAAGCATCTATGCCCTGAAAGTGAAAGTCACTCAGTTGTGTCCAACTCTTTGCATCCCCATGGACTATACAGTCTGTGGAGTTCTCCAGGCCAGAATACTGGAGTGGGTATCCTTTCCCTTCTCCAGGGGATCTTCCCAACCCAGGGGTCAAACCCAGGTCTCCCGCAGGCAGATTCTTTACCAGCTGAGCCACCAAGGAAGCCCTTGAGATTCACTGCGTCTTCTATTAGTGGGCCTTCATCTTTTAAACAAGCTGCCTAAAGTTATGGAAGACTTTGCCAGAGGAGTAGGTGGTTGGGAGTGCAAGAAGTTAGTGATATAGTGGTTAGGAGGAGTTGTTGTTTTTTTTCCTCTATAGTTATTTACTAGGGTACCACAATTATATTTAAAGTAAAATGTAATTCTAAGAATTGCTTAGTGGTTAGGAGCAAGCTCCAGAGCCAGGCAACTTGCATTTGGTTCCTACCTCTACTCTACTTGTGTGACCTTGGAAAGGTTATTTACTTGCCTGAAAATACTCAAAATCCATCCATAGAGTGAGATGATTAGAGCTGTGCAGAACAAATGTAAGCATTTGGAAACTGGTCAGATCCATAGTATATCAGGTCACATGGTACAGAAGGGTTAGCTCTTCCCTTGCAACTCAGTTCTCCTCCCTAGAGGAAACCAGTGTTACCAGTTCCCAGTGTATTCTTTCAGAAGGCTGTGTGATTATAAGATATACACAAGTAAGTTCACAAATATACCATATTTAATTGAACCTAAGATGTCATCATCGATAAGATGCACCATTGTCTTATGTTCCAGTAAGTTGAGGTATTTTATTACATTATCTGATTTCATTAAAAATTCTCAGAATATAATATTCTATTTCTCCGTTATAAACAACTGATACCAAACTACATAAAACTGTTCGTACTTTGCTCTTTTCACTAAACAACATATATCTTAGAGAATTTTTTTATGTAAGCGCATACAGCACTTACCTCATTTTTAATGGCCTCTTAATATTCCTTTGTATGGACTAGTGGATGCTTAGACTGTGTTTACTTTCTTCTGCTTTACAAACAGCACTGCAGCAAGTAGCACTGAACATGTGTCATTTCATTTAGGTACAAGTAATCTGAAAGAAGTATAAGTACTGAGTCAGTTTTGCATTTGCAATCTTAATGGCAACTGCTAAACTGCCTTCCTTTAAGACTGTACCAAATTACATTCCATCATTAATATTTCCCACACCCTTCCCAACTGTGAGTTATCTGTTTATACCACAAATAAAAAAGTTCTCTTCTGATTTCCAATTATTAATTTTCTAGAATGTTCATGAAGAAGTCTTACAAGAATATCAGAAGATAAAGCAGGTAGGTATCATCACTTGGTTTTCTGACCTCATTGAGAAAGTGTTACGAATTCCATAGTCTTATTCCTGTGTTGTTGTTTTTTTTCCATCCACAGTCTAGTCCCAATTACCATGAAGAAAAATACAGATGCGAGTATCTTCATAACAAGCTAGCTCACATCAAGAGACTAATAGGTGAATTTGACCAACAGCAAGCAGAGTCATGGCACTAGAGCTCTGCTTGGACCAGAAGATGTGAATAAACTTAAGCTTATTTATTTAAAATTCCAAATGAGTTGCTCTCAAAATTCTAAAAAATGAAACTTTGCCTGTTGAAAGTTTCAGTATTAGTAAACTTGAGTTATTTTTTTTTTTCTTGTTTTCTCATTTACTTTGCTTCCTTGCATTTTTGAAGCTGCTTTTTCTGGTCATTTCTTGCCCTTTAAGACTTGTGTTTGTCAATAGAAATAATTTTTTTTAGATATTGGGGATCTAGTGTCTGTACTTCAAATCAAACTTTTTTCCTTAAAAACTGTGTTTGTCGTTAGAAATGATTTTTTTTTTTTTATTTAAGATATTGGGGATCCAGTGTCCACACTTCAAAGTTACGTATGTTTAAAAAAAAAAAAAAAAGGCAGTAACATGCAAGGTGAAATGCTTTTGGATAAACATATGCCTATTTTCTGACCTTTCTTAATGCGAACTCTTTGCCTTAAATGGTAGAATATTTAGAAATTTGCACAAAATACAAAAAAAAAAAAGTTAAAACATTGTTTTGGAGGGTTAAGAAATAGAAAGGTGTGTGAGTATGTGTATAGATCTATACACACACTTGTATATACAGACTGACTTGATCTAGAACAGTAACTTTGCCCTGCAAGTTAACCCCCCATTGCAATGGTTGCCTTAAGGTGTTTGCTAGTTGTGTATCTAGTGTGGTTACTCATCAGCTACACTGCTTCCCATCTGATGAGAGCAGTGGGAAGCACACTGTGGCCTACCAGCGTCTGAACGCGTGTGCTCGACCTGTGTGTGTGCAGAGGTGGTATGGATGTGAGCGTGCATGGAGGAAAAAGCTGCTACCCTCAGTAGGCCAAACGCTCAGGTGAAACAACTGACGAGTGTTACTGTAGGTTTTTTTTTTTTCTGTCAAATCGCTACTTCTATCATGGAAGACAAAAAGCATTTCCATTTCAACAGTTTGTCAGCTTTATTAATGTTGGGCAAAATTGATATGTTATGAAAATGAAACAGATCTATAGTTTTGGGACAAAATTATAACATGAATCGTGTAGGTAACCTATTTATATACTGCTATAAAGTATTTTTTGAAGAGAGATATGCAAAGAAGCTATTACCTACATGAAATGTATATTTAAAGATTTTTTTTTTTCATCCTGGATGCCAGGAATATAAAACAGAGCGGATATATTTAACCATAACATACTGTGATTCATCAAATAGCACAAAACTTTCATTTCATGGAGTTTATCTGTTGACGTTGATTTAAACTATCATTTGTTTTATCATGTGGGAACATAAGTTATGTGGTCAAAAATATAAGGATTTTGAACTAATGTTGATACAAGTTGTGTTGTCTTATCATATTGTTTTTCAAAGTGCTGCCAGTTTAAAAGGGAAGCATTATGTTTACAAATATGTTTTGAAATGTTTGCCAAAATTTTGGTGGTATCTTTAATAAAGATGTTTGTCTCCAGCATCCAAAAAAATAAATATAAAACTTCGTTGTGTATCGTTGTAAACCAGAAAATGCTGGTATCCAAAAAAACCTGAGAGAGCATGTAGATGGAATTTTGTCTTTGGAGTTCCAAAACATTAACAGGAAAGAGTAAATAATATGGTAAAAGTACACTATACAAAGACTAAAACAAGGCCCTGTGCACTATAACTCTAATACATTACCACAGAAATTTGATTTCTACATAGCATGGACCTCCTAGGGAATTTGATTGTTTTTTTTTTTTTTTTTAAGCATTGAGATCCCTGGTGCTCTTCCTTTTACCTCAGAATTGGTACAATCATTGTGTTCATTGATATCAAACTTTCAGTTGGAAAAAAAAAATAGGAAAAGAAACTTAACTGGGGATAAACTTGGTCCTCACATCGTTGTGGTGGAGTCTCCGGGGGGATTCTTCCATAGGTAATGACCTCATAGGAGTCATTTCTTAGACACCATGGCCCTTTAATCAAAGACCATGTGCTGCTACTTGCTATGAGTGGTGTTTCTCAAAAGCAAGGTGCTCGGGCCACTTGCATCCCTCAAATTAGAATCTCCGAAGATGGGGAGATAGCCACATTTTCATAAGTATCCTCCAGGTGACTTCTGCAAGCTAAAGTGTGAGAACCTTTGGCTTGGAAGCGACTCTAAACATTTAGGTCTCTAAATCTCAAGGTCTTGAACTGAAATTCAGCTGTTTGGTTTTTTTTTTAAGCCCATCTCTCAGCAGGTGCAAATCATTTTTCCTCTCAACATCATTTGAGGCACCCTCAATTGTTTCACTGCCAGCTCTTACTTTAGAACTTGTTTACAAATAAGGCAAACCTTCCGGTTGGCTAATTGTTGGCCCTTGGAGCTCCTACCCACCTCCATCAGCACGTCTTCTGGTTTACAAATTGGGTAACAATGGAAGCTGGAGATGCTTTCTGAAAATCCAGGATTGCACACCCACAGACTTGACCACCTACCTATAAAAGCCTTAATTTAGATGTTTGTTGTGTACATTGGGCAGATCCTTGCAAAACGTGTATCTGTCTGTCTGTTGCAAATTTGAGAGTTGTAAATCTCTGAATCTGCTGTTACCTGAGACTGCATCTCTTTTAAAGATAGGCATGGGCCTATTAAAATATTTATATTTATAATCATCCTTCATCTCCTACTGCAAGATTTTTAGATTCTCTCAAATAATTGCTGCAGGAATGGGTGGCCACGTAGTTACTCTGGTAGAATTTATTTAGGTTTAGTTTTGGTTCAATTTTGTTTTGTTTTTAGAGAAATAGTTAAGTGTAAAATAGCATTGTCAAGATGAGACAATGAGTTATTATTTGTTCATCACATTTCACCTAAAATAATTTGAAGCACTCTTGAGGATTTTTACCAACCCCCATAAATTAACTCCAGAATGAATGAGCAGCTGATTTAATACAAACCAAAAATAGCATCAACTAGATGTGGTTTTTTTGTTTTATGTGAAGATTTCACTTCCTGCCTTGTTGGTTATTTATTTCCCGTGGAATACTTGAGAGGGGTTAACTTTCAACTCTCAGTAGAGATGAATGTTCAGAACTTGCTCTCACAGAAGTAATTGGTGTCGTCAGTTGATATCATTGCTGCGTGCATTGATTATAAAAATCCAGTATTAACCTTCCTTCATCTATGACTGGTCTTTTAACCTTTATAGGAGTTTTCTTTTCCCTTAAAATATTTCACCTTACTCTGTCAAACAAGTGCATATTTTCATGTTTGAAACAAGGTGTTGAAATGAGGTTTAGACACAAAGGGTCCATCAGTTCCCACCCTCTGCTTGGTTGCCTTCCCCCTCCCACTAGCGCGTTCTTTGCTTCTGGAACTTGACTGAAACTCTCCAGCCAGTTTCCTGGTCTTGCTGGCCCCGTGAGTGTGAGTCACATATGTGTGGTTTTTGCCTTTACTACTTTTAAGGCTCTTAGAGTGTATCCCTTGCCTAAGTGTTACTAAATCCTCCTGTTGTGGACCTGATGGGGAAAAAGTCAACAGCCAGCTTTGAGACGAACCTCTTGGGAAAAGATATTAACTGACACAACTAAGTGAAGGCAACAGAAGATGTTATCCGTGTCCTCTGTAACCTGAAAACTGAACAAGGCTATGAGGCTCATTTCAATATTTTGAAGTGTTAAAAAATATATACACATATATCTACGCTGTTTTCGGTTGTCCCACCCAAACCGTTTTAGGGAGTAGATGTCACAGGGACTCTTCCATCGTTCTGAGCTCAGCAGCTGGGTGGCCCCTGTTGTTCTACACCGATTTCAGTTCAATAAAAATGTTAACTTTGCAATTCTGGTGCTCGTTTTCCCTTTGTCTCATTTCAAAGCTCTTAATTCTGTCTTTTAAAAAAATTTTAAAAAAAAAGGTAATTGATCTTCCTGGGACAAAGACATCACTTGTTGGTGACTCTAGGAAGTGGGAACACAGGGTGTTTGGTTCAGGAGCCCCTGCCACCCGTTTTATGAGTGGAGGACATGCCCTCCAAAGGCAGCAAGCATCTACTAGGGGAACAATATTAACAGTTACCTTTTATGGAGGATCTTCCATTGCTTATTCACTTTGTATGTATCGTCCCAGTTCTCCTCCCCACAACCCTGCTATCCCCATTTTACAGGCAAGGAAACCGAGGCTTTGGGTTTCCCAGGTGGCTCAGCAGTAAAGAATCTGCCTGCAATGCAGGAGACAGCGGGCTTCCATCCCTGGGTCGGGAAGACCCCCTGGAGGAGGACGTGGCAATCCACTCCAGTATTCTTGCCTGGAGAGTCCCATGGACAGAGGAGCCTGGTGGGCTACAGTCTATGGGGTCGCAAGAGAGTCAGACAGGACTTAGCAACTAAGCAACAAGAACAAACCGAGGCTTATAGAGAAGTTAAAGACACTTGCCTGTAAGTGTCTTAAGACACACAGCTAGTAAACCATGGTGCCTGACTCCAGAATCTGTGTTCTTAACCATATTTCCATACTGCCCCCTCTATGTCAATACCTAGTTAGGGTAGGGTCACTGTCAGAAAGTGACAATTCCAGCAACACCCCCAGGCTAGACTCTTAATTCAAAGGAGACTAGAATGTGCCTGTTGGATTGATACCTAATGGGTGATTCTCAGGGAGTTAATTCTGTCAGAAATTATAAATTTGAAAGAAGGCCAAAATACTTTTTGAGGAAACGTGTTTTATTTTCGGATGTGTACCATCTTCACAGTGGGCTATTGGAAAGAGACTGGGGGCATTGTAGGCAGAAAGAAGAAACAGGGCTACCATCTTAGAATCACATCATTTTTTCTTCATATTAAAAGGCTCTCTCAGAGACAACAGGCTCCAGCTCCAAGGGGAATCCAGTGTGAATCAGACATAGAACCTTCTAGTTGGAGCCTTAACATGCAGTTTCTACAGGTTTTCTGAAGGAAATGGAGGAGGAAGGCAAGCAAGCGTCCACTGAGCACTAATGTGAAACACCCAGAATGGTCCCTG